GGAAGGAGACAGGGTGGCGTACTTTGACAACCGCATCGTGGATGCCGACGCACCCAGCTACGTCCGCTCGAACCTCTCTTGGAACGCCGTATCCAACAGTGCTGCCTCTTCCAAGAAGAGAAAGTACAAGGCGGCCGCAGAGGAGCTGCGAGCATCCTTCACCCCGCTGGTCTGCTCAACTGATGGTGCACTGCACACAGAGTACCGTGCGTATCAACAGCGACTTGCTATGCGCCTTGCCTCCAGGTGGGACAAGTCATACAGCAACGTCATGTCCTAGGTGCGGATCCACCATCAGTTTGCTGTTTTCCGGGCTGTCGACCTTCGTCTCCGGGGTTCACGCCGTCGTCTCGGTGGGCTGGCAATTTGCGATGGTGTTGGCCTTGGCGTTGGCCGTTAACATTCATGCGTATGGCACTTGTTGTTGTTGTTGTGTGTGTGTGTGTGTTTGTTTTCTTTCCTTTTCTTTTCAGCTGTCATTTGCCCTGATCATGCCTCATGCGTGTTTCACAGCATAGTACGTTTCCGCTCATTTTCTTCTTCAACACACGCTAGCTGTATTACTTTGTTCTTGCGCGTACAAGAGGCTTTTCCACTTTCCTGCGGAAAAAAACTAGTACTACTACTTCATTTCGTGTACATAACGGGTTGAAACGCCTCTTGTAAACACAGCCTGATCACCGGTATGTATGCGAAGTGTATCGGGGGAATGCATGCAGGGCGATAGCGTGGGTTCGAATCCTAGGTTATGTCTTAAAAAAAAGGAGGATTGAACAATTTAAAACATCCCTATCTATGCCTTTTTTTGCCTAGGTCATCAAGGTGGTAGACAGTGTCCTTATAGCCTCGAATGCAAAGAGAAAGTTGACTCTCGCTAGGCAAAAAAGCATAGCATAGGGCCCTGAGCTTCCAGGCTCTCTCGTCACACTGAAAGATCATAAATATAAGTTAGACAACTTTGAATTCGCTAGAGCGTTGCACTGCAGACTCATTACCCAGTAAGCCTCACTCCCTCTTTTCCCCCCCACAAAATACAGACATTTATCCTATTTATCACAGTTAATTTGATTAATGGAGTACAGCTGTATAAGCCCCCCCCCCCACACACACACTAAGAATGGACATGGAACTCATCGCGTGTCTTGTTTGTCCTCTGCAGTTATGCCCGTGGTTCGAATAACCCCACCCACCCAGACTGTTCTGAATGGGACTATTGCAGAACTAGTGTGCGACACCACAGCTGGTACACCACCATTCCTCTTCTCATGGTTCTTGTCCTCAACCGAGATCACGGTGGGCGTCACGAGCAACGCTACGACGTCCACACTGCTGGTTGATACGGCCATGATGCAGACTAGGTCCCGTTCCTACACATGTAGGGTGACGCTGGATCAACCACTCCCGGCCAATCAGCTTTCTGGAACGGACGTCGGCACCCTGCTGACGGACTGTGAGTTGTCATGCCATGATGACATGCAGCACAGTGGTTTGTTATGCTATCAGCTGTATTGTGGTCATCTGTACAAACAGACATTGCACAACCACACACATCTGTTTTCCACGAAAAATATCCAAATAGGCTAGGGAACCGGATAATCGAACACACCTACATGCAATGTATGTATGCATGTCACGTGCTGTTAATCGGTAACCAAAGATTTTCTTCCAGTTGGCGAGGGATCTGGATAAAAGAGGACCGGATAAGCGAGGTCTGACAGTACCACAATAGTGCTACAGAGGTTATGCGAATTGTGTTGTATTGTATTGTATTTTATTATTTTACTTGGGTATTTCCAACAGACCCTAAGGTCTTCTTACAGGGTGCCCGAGATGCGAAAAATGCACACACCTGCAGTAACAATAGCACGTACATGTAATCCGAAACCTACCCAAGACTAACCTACTCACCCATCTTTTTACTGGCTCATTCATCCTTGAGCCGGGGTGATGTTCCCATGGTTGCGGAAATTCTGCCTGATGCTGTCTAATCCGAAACCTAGAATTCGATTTTATAATTTGTTGGATGTGAAGGTTGGTGCTTTCTGCAGCCGGTAAAGTTCCTGATCACTAGGTATTCTGTATTTGAATGTGTTTTCACATGTGTCTTTGTGTGTGTGTGTGTGGGGGGGGGGGGTGTGGGTGTGTGTGTGTGTGTGTGTGTGTGTGTGTGTGTGTGTGGGAGAGAGAGAGAGATACGTGTGTGTGTGTGTGTGTGTGTCGTTTTGTGTGTGATTGTGTTTGTATGTGTGTGCGTGTGTGTGTGTGTGTTTGTGTGTGTGTGTGTGTGAGAGAAAGAGAGAGAGGTGTGTGTGTGTGTGAGTGTGTGAGAGAGGTGTGTGTGTGTGTGTGTGAGAGAGAGAGAGAAAGAGGTGTGTGTGTGTGTGTGTGTTGTTTTGTGTGTGATTGTGTATGTGTGTTTGTGTTTGTGTATGCGTGTATGGGATCATGTGCATGTACGTGTGTATGTGGGTGTTTTTGCCGCATATTCAGTCCCACCCGTGGTCTCGGTCAATGACGTCACTGGAGTCGCCGGTGAACGAATTGAAATCGTGTGTCGCGTCCTCAGCGATCCACCACCGACGGCGACTCAAGGTGTTGTGGTATTGAGCAGCGGTATGGTGGTGGGACCTATTTCGATTTCCTTTGGCAGTGGGACGCCACGCACTACTATCTTTACTTTCCAGATCCTGACGGCCAACCCAGCCCTTCATGCAGGCCCGGCAGTCTGCCGCACCAGAGTAACTCTTGATAGCGGAACAGAAGAGGTTAACGGTTCCTTCAACATTGCTGTTCTCGTCGGTGAGCCTCTCTTAAAACTGTTCTTTAGTTACATACCGTAGTGAGTAGCACCCAGAGAAAAGAGCTATGTTCATATCGGGTTGTTAAAGGACTCATTCTATACTGTAGTGACTTGTATTAGAGCTTATCTCGTATAGAAGCCTGTTTTGAATAGAAGCCTGATTTTAAAGTTTCACTGTCGACTCGAGAGATAGCCTGGTTTTAGTCTTGAGTCTGTTGACGTACATAGAAATGCCTTGTTTGACACTGTGGGACCTGATTCTAAAGACCACCCTGCTTTAAGGACCGCTTTTGCTTGCATCATGGGGTGGTCTCTTAAACCAGGTTTTACTGCACATAGAAATACCTTGTTTGAATAGACGTGTGATGTGAATAGTAGCCGGGAACTGACATCGGCTTCTACAGGAATAAGTCCGTCTTTAATACGCGACAATACATTAGCCTTTTTTTTTTTTTTTTTTTACTAAGGCCACAGCTTCCAATCATGACATGCGAAGCAGTGGTGCAGCATAGCAGGCATGAATCGTGGACGTGGTGCCCCTTAATAAGCGACATTATAGTAGCTTTCATGTCAGTATTGTAATTTTAAGTTACCAATGTATTATAGAAGTTGACAAATCCGTTGATCCCCGAACAGCAGAGAGTGCTCAATGCCAGAGACAGAGCTTAGTACATAGCAGACTCAGCGGGAGACGTTCAGGTTGGTTGTAACTCTGAGTTTCGTGCCGCTAGGCAATGATCAGGCAACTGATACTCGGATCTGCCCAGAAGTGCGCTCAGTCTGCTATGTACTAAGCTCTGTCTCTGACATTGAGCACTCTCTGTAGCTCGGGGTTGAACGAATTTGTCCACGCTCCTGGCTCTACCCAGTCGAGCACTCTACCCCTACACTGCAAGCTAGCTATGGTCGCTTCAAGGTCAATACAACTGGGATATTCCCTGAAGACCATCCCTCCACCGTCACCCAAGCAGTACCGGAAATGTCTGATTGACAGGATTGAGCAAGTCATCAAGCGCATGAAAGTGTTCCGCCTTGTTCTACCTCAATGGTGAGGAACGCAAAGAGCAGCAACCAGAACGCTTCGGCTTCAAGAGCAGGACATGTCCTCCGCAAGTCGATGAACTGAAGGCCTTTGAAGAGTACCTCATTTGCGTGGCTGAAACGGTCAGCTTCCGCTACGTAGCGGACAGCCTCCAAGACGCTATGAGAAAAGACACAAAAACAATCAAAAATTCTAAGGACATTATCGTGAAAGCCTATAAAATTCGGAATTTGTACCCAGTTCTAAAAAATCAATACAACAAGCTGGTGAGAGAGAATTTCACCAAAAACTACCAGATCGCGCCTGAGAATGTGAATGATGAAGGCAACAGAGAGGCGAGGGAGATCGCTGAGGGTCTAGATCTTCACAACAGGATGGACGTACTGGCTAAGCCAGCAGCATTTATCACACTAAAAGATCATCAAGATAAGTCTAGGGGTGAAAGGATTACACTTTTCAACTGCGGGTTATTAACCTACCCTTGTATTGATTTTATTATTGATTATGATATCGATTACTGCGTCCTAGATAGGTGCGGGTGCAGACAGTCAGTTTTTATTATTACTTTTTTTTACTATCAAACAGCCCTTCTAGACCGGAAAAAGTGCGGATAATCGGAAAAGGACAAAGTATCTTGCGCGTGTACATCCACTGTCCATCTGCAATGTACGTAACTTTATCGTATCCTACTACATACAGTCAGTCATGTACAGGACATCTTCTGCAGGTTTTTTCTTTATTATTTATTATTTATTTATTTTTCGGATCGTCTACTCTAAACAGACAGCATAATCGAAATCGCTTCGTTGTAATGATCGATTAGACGGATAACCGATATAATCGTTTCAGCCCTAAAGGCAACTTCGATTGCACTGGAGCATTGCCCTGCAGACTCATTAAATAGTAAACCTCACTGGAGTATAAACCTCACTGGAGTATAAACCTCACTGGAGTATAAACCTCACTGGAGTATAAACCTCACTGGGGTATAAACCTCACTGGAGTATAAACCTCACTGGGGTATAAACCTCACTGGAGTATCATATTTATCACCGTTAACTTGATCAATGGAGTAAAGCCCCCCACCCCCCCCCCCCCCCCACACACACTAAGAATGGACATGGAACCCATCGTATGTCTTGTTTGTCTTCTGCAGTTATGCCCGTGGTTCGAATAACCCCACCCACCCAAACTGTTCTAAATGGGACTATTGCAGAACTAGTGTGCGACACCACAGCTGGTACACCACCATTCCTCTTCTCATGGTTCTTGTCCTCAACCGAGATCACGGTGGGCGTCACGAGCAACGCTACGACGTCCACACTGCTGGTTGATACGGCCATGATGCAGACTAGGTCCCGTTCCTACACATGTAGGGTGACGCTGGATCAACCACTCCCGGCCAATCAGCTTTCTGGAACGGACGTCGGCACTCTGCTGACGGACTGTGAGTTGTCATGCCATGATGACATGCAGCACAGTGGTTTGTTATGCTATCAGCTGTATTGTGGTCATCTGTACAAACAGACCTTGCACAGCCACACAAATCCGTTTTCCACGAAAAATATCCGGATAGGCGAGGGAACCGGATAATCGAACACACCTACATGCACTGTATGTATGCATGTCACGTGCTGTAAATCGGTAACCAACGATGTTCTTCGCGTTGGCAAGGGATCCGGATAAAAGAGGACCGGATAACGGTCTGACTGTACCACAGTAGTGCTACAGAGCTTATGCGAATGATGCACATAACTGCAGTAACAATAGCCAGTACATGTAACCCCAAACCAACCCAGGACTAACATATTCACCCATTTTTACACTGGCTCATTGATCCATGAGCCGCGGTGATGTTCCCATGGTTTCGGAAAATTCTATCAGATTCCATCTCACGTTAACCACAAAATTTAATTTGATAATTTTGTTGGATGTGAAGGTTGGTGCTTTCTGCAGCCGGTAAAGGTACTGATTGCTAGGTACTCTGTGTTTGAATATGTTTTTTGTGTGTTTGTGTGTGTGTGTGTGTGTGTGTGTGTGTGTGTGTGTGTCTATGTGTGTCTATGTGTATATGTGTGTATATACTCAATCTGCGGACAGCATGCTGTTTCGTTCTTTTTGAACTCGTCAGCGCAGCACAGAGGAAATGAGGCCGAACCTGATAGCAATGGAAATAAAAATTTCCAATCAGGCCCGAACGTACCTTGCCAGAGTGCTCAAACTGACAAGTCAGTGAGCTCTGCGTAACGCAAACAGCAAAGGCACTACCCCACGCAAGAGTGCTCAACTGCTACAAGAGCAGGAGCGAAATACTCAATCTGCGGACAGCATGCTGTTTCGTTCTTTTTGAACTCGTCAGCGCAGCACAGAGGAAATGAGGCCGAACCTGATAGCAATGGAAATAAAAATTTCCAATCAGGCCCGAACGTACCTTGCCAGAGTGCTCAAACTGACAAGTCAGTGAGCTCTGCGTAACGCAAACAGCAAAGGCACTACCCCACGCAAGAGTGCTCAACTGCTACAAGAGCAGGAGCGAAATACTCAATCTGCGGACAGCATGCTGTTTCGTTCTTTTTGAACTCGTCAGCGCAGCACAGAGGAAATGAGGCCGAACCTGATAGCAATGGAAATAAAAATTTCCAATCAGGCCCGAACGTACCTTGCCAGAGTGCTCAAACTGACAAGTCAGTGAGCTCTGCGTAACGTATGTGTGTATATATATATATGCGTGTGTGTATGTATGTGTGCATGCACGCGTGTATGTGCACACGTGTGTGTGTGTGTTTCTGCTCCACGTTCAGTCCCACCCGTGGTCTCGGTCAATGACGTCACTGGAGTCGCCGGTGAACGGATTGAAATCGTGTGTCGCATCCGCAGCGATCCACCACCGGCGTCGAATCAAGTCGTTGTGGTACTGAGCAGTGGTATGGTCGTGGGACCTTTTTCGATTTCCGTTGTCAGTGGGGCGCCACCGACTACTACCTTTCGTTTCCAGATCCAGACGGCCGACCCAGCCCTTCATGCAGGCCCGGCAGTCTGCCGCACCAGAGTAACTCTTGATAGCAGAACAGTAGAGGTTAACGGTTCCTTCAACATCGCTGTTGGTAAGTACCAAACAGAGAAAATCTATAATTATGTGCAGGGGCGTCGGACACGGTACGGTCACTACGGTATTGACCATACCACTTTTTGCCCCAGGTACACCGTGAATCGATAAAATACACTGATCTGGGATCTAAATTTCCAAAATTTTCGGCTCAGCTGCCACTCCCCAACGAGTAAATTGTACTTCAGATAGCTGACCGTACCACACTAAAATACCTTCCGACGCCCCTGATTTGTATATCAGGGTGTTAAAAACTCATTGCACTCCGTAGTGACTTGTATTAGAGCCTATCTCATAAAGAAGTCTGTTTTGAATAGAAGCTTGATTTTCAAGTTTCACTGTCGGCAGATGGCGCCTGATTATAGTGTTGGTGTACGTAGAAATGCCTGGTTTGAATGGAAGCTTGATGTGAGAAGAAGCCTAGCCCGCACATCGGCTTCTACAGGAATAAATCTGGCTTTAATAATTATGTATGATTGACTGTGTGGATTCGGATGATACAGTTTCTCTTGCTTTCATGGTTTTGCCCTTCAGATGTTCTGTTACTGGATGGAAGTGGCACGGTGTTCCGAACAATGTACCGCGAGAACCAGCTTGCTCCCACCATTCTCTCACTGCAGCATTCAGCCACTCTGGTTGGAGAGTCAGCCGCCTGCCAGACGTCCATAGAGCTAACAGCGTACGTAGCTGTGTGCACGGTTTGTTGTGCATCGGTGTGTTTGTGTGAGTGTGTGTGTGTGTGTGTGTGTGGGGATTCACTGGCCAGAAAAATCACTTCAAATAGCTGTATGGTGTAGACCAGGCTGAATAGTGACGGTCAATTCTTCAGCCTTGCAAGCTGTTGAATGGTGCAATCCCAGCACAAGTTGCTATGGCTTCTGCCGTAGCATTGCTATCATCGCCTCCGGCGATGGGCGTCAAAGGTCAAAGGTCAAGGTCAGGTGTGTGTGTGTGTGTGTGTGTATGTGGGCGCGCGATGTGTGTGCATGTGTTCGTGTGTGTTCTTGTATGTATCTGATTTGGTGAGTCAGTTGCCAGCCAGACGTCCACAGAGCTAAAGTTGTACATGATGCTCTGAACTTGTGCATGCGTGTGCGTGTCCTGTCATGTTGGTCTGTAGAATGATTTGACCCCAGTCACATCAAGGCGCACACTTAACCTGACTGGCGCAATCAGTTTTTTGACTTGTCCCGCTGCACCGCTGCCAGTCTTACTGTCGTGTATGATGTGGCGAGTAAACACAAGCCTCTTACCAGCTAACACCCGTCGCTGAGCGGAGACTTGGTCCGGGTATGGCCTAACCAACCACACTGGTTCCACCGGCTCTGTTTCGCAGTCAGTGAATACACCGGACAAAAGCATGACAAGAACCTAAAACTGGGCAAGGAACTTGTTATCCAATGCGACTAAAATTCCATTGCAAACAATAAGATTATAAGCACGTTTCTTCAACTGTATATGAAACTGCAGTTTCAAATACAGCTAAGAGTAGAGCCCACACACTGCACTTGTAACAGGTCGAAGTTGACATTTGAAGAAAGAGGCTGAGCAGGATCCTGCTCAGCGCTTGTATATATCAGATAGGTGTGAATATTGTGAGAAGGAGGGTGAGACGGTCAGAAGGTAAAAAGGTGAGAAGGAAGGTAAATGGGTGACAACTGTGACAGCACTAATTCCACTCATTATATAATATTACAACGTTTTGGCAAACTGCCTTCACCAGATACAGACATTGTATATGTTGTTTGCTTCTTTTTGGTGCATGTTCTCGTGTCCCATATTAGGTCTTCTGGTACCTTGGATGATGTGGCATTCGAAAAGATCTTCCCCACCAAGGCGGTGATGTCACCTAATATTATGGTGAGTCAGGACGTGGCTTTCTGTGCTTCGTTCCCGACAAGGATGCTGGGTCGAAGCAGTTTGTGTTGATCTGCAGTTGTGACGACAACGCAGTGCTAGTAGGATGCTAGTAGGATGCTGTTGCTGGATGCTGAGCACACGCTGCAGATCATCTGATCACATCATGGCTGTAAATGCTTTGCATGGAGTGGGTGATTACATCATCACTTGAGATTATTTGTATAGAGTTGCACTTGAAACACTCCTAAGCCACCCAGAAAAAAGTCAGTGTGGCTTACACTACGATGGTAAAATGAATGGTGACATGCAGGGTGGATGTCTGTTCTTCGTGACGAAAACATCTGGGTGCGCCTTGCATGTACATTCCAGTGCGGCTTCCGCGCGAGAAAAAACTAGGGCTGAAACGACCATTCAATAACTCCTAACGGTCAACCAACATCATTTACGATCGATATATTGGTTTTATCGATTGAAGAAATTCCACGATACCTTTGCTACGTTAGACGTTTGTGGCTGTGCACTGTTGACAACTGTAGACATCTGGACATGAACTAGAAATTTTCAATATTGTTTCTAGAGTGAATAATTTTGTCATCGCCCTCTGGCCACTGCTCTTACGTCCGACCTCTCCCACAAATGAACCGAAAAGACAAAGTCGTCTCTCCCAATCTCTTTCAAAGCCACAAATCAATTTTACTGCGCTTGCAAGTACAATACATAACTGTTCTTGTATCCACTGTCGGATGGAGTGCAAGGGCTAGAATACTGTCACTGATATACATGCATAAAGATCTTTAGCACTCGTTTTGAACACTGACCCTTATCGATTGCACTCTTAACGATCGTATGCGAGTTATCGGTATCATTGTTTTAATCCTAAAAAAGACATACTTTCACCAGTGACTTTCTCAGTACATATACTCGTTGTGAGTTTTATTCTAAATTGTACTCCTCTTACTGTTCAACGTCTGGTCTAGTTGGTGAACTCAGACTCATAACTTATGCCCTGTTCTGTTCTTTGTTTTCCTCTTCTCTCCTCAATTTTTATATTCTACAGAAGACATTCTTACCGAGACAATTGGTGTACACGTCAACAGATGGTATGCCAATCTCGACCGAGGACATCTTGACCATTGTCCAAAACACGGAGTACGCGAACACTCGCGACGAAATATCCATGGCCGACCGAGTGGTAAGTGTGGCGTAAAGTAGACCCGTCTGTTTGTCTGGATGCATGTCTGCATGTATGTACGCCATGTATGTGTGTATGTATGCCAGCTATCAGAAGCGACTTGCTGGTCGCCTCGCCCTCAAGTGGGACAAGCCATTTTCAATCATCATGGCTTGGGTGCGAGTTCGCAGCCAATTTGCAGTGATCCATGCAGTCGACCTCCGGCTACGCGGGTCTAGAAGGCGCCTGACAGGCCTGTCGACGCAGGATGGTGCTGGGGTAGGCATAAGAACTGAATTTCGTCTGTTTTACATGGAATTTCTTGGAGTTTCCCAATGTATTGTACTTGAATAAAATTGTATTTGACCTTTCATGGTATCTCAATTTTTTCACGTCTACATGACTTTATTTTGCCCGTAAAAGAGGCAGTTACCCCCGAAAATTAATGTATGTACGTATGCGTGTATGTACGTATGCGTGTATGTACGTATGCATGTAGGTTGTATGAAAATAATTATGTTTTTTAACGCTATTCCACTGCTTGAGACTTGCATCAACTTCAACACCCCCCCCCCCCGCTCCCCCATAATTAGGGCCATATAATTAGCACTTTTCCAAAGATGCTCGCCACTTTTTTCGCAACTTTTCGCTGTTTATATATGGCCCGGTCAAACATGCACTCGAAAGTAGCGTATACGCTGAAGCGAGGTGGCAGGAGCGAAAAATTGCATGGCAACTGCGAAAAGCGGAACTTCCTCTTCAGCGGAAACTCCAATCCGCTTCTTCCAACATTTTCGAAGCGAGACTGTCGCTTCTGCGGATTCGCTTCAGCGGAAAACACCACGGTCTGCTGTATATGGACTTGCTACGAGAAATTTGTATGCGTATGATTTCCATGCAACAAAAATGCGTGCAAGATGGTCATTGACCTCATCCATTCTCCGTACTGTATGCACAGCAGGAAGGGGTGTACGAGTTTGCCGTCGCAGCACTTCTCCTTTTTTGGTGGTTTGTGCACAAGAACTCTCCCATTTTAAGTTGCAATGTCAGCAACTTTTGAGCTTTTTCTGAAATATGGATGCGGTTTCAGCAACTTGCACTTGCTTTGGTATAGTTGCGAAAAGCATAAGATGCGAAAAATGATGGCATCTTAGTCGAAACAGGCTAGCATCAGGGCAGGCCGAAAATTTTATGCGCCGAAATGTGCTTTAGCCCCGGGAGGCCGAAATTTCAATGAGCCGAAATTTGTAGATTTACGGCATGTTGTTCCTTCACACAACGTCACGTGATGTTTGTGTACCTTTGCTTTTCATCTCAGGTACTTTGGGAACTTCGAGACTGTGAGAGCAACGTCATAGCGACAGCAGAAACATTCATTGGAATCGAACGTGTCAACGACAACCCACCTGTGGTGATATTCAACATTTCTCCAGGCATCGTATGACGAGCAGAATATTAGCTAATGCCAATGATGTAAAATTTAAGAATTCGTAATATTTGTGGGCCGTGCTAACTGGCATCCACCTCTCTGCAGCATTTTACCTTGCTATTTGTGTTACTGTTTGCATGCAATGGGCGTAATTAAATCGCTACTCGTGGAGTTCGTCAGCAGCTACTTCGAAGTAGATTCTTTCTTTATTCTTTCAATAGCTATCTTTCTCTAATTTTCACTTCCAGTCTCTCTCTCTCCCTCCCTCTCTCTCTCTCTTTCTCTCTCTCTCTCTCTCTCTCTCTCTCTCTCTCTCTCTCCCTCTCTCTCTCCCTCTCTCTCCCTCTCTCTCCCTCTCTCTCCCTCTCTCTCTCTCTCTCTCTCTCTCTCTCTCTCTCTCTCTCTCTCTCTCTCTCTCTCTCTCTCTCTCCTCTCTCTCTCTCTCTCTCTCTCTCTCTCTCTCTCTCTCTCTTTCTCTTTCTCTCTCTCTCTCTCTCTCTCTCTCTCTCTCTCTCTCTCTCTCTCTCTCTCTCTCTCTCTCTCTCTCTCTCTCTCTCTCTCTCTCTCTCTACCTCTCTCTCTCTCTCTCTCTCTCTCTCTCTCTCTCTCTCTCTCTCTCTCTCTCTCTCTCTCTCTCTCTCTCTCTCTCTCTCTCTCTCCAAGTCTAGTGATGCCCACTCTCGGCATCTCTTCTCGAATCAAGAAATTCGAACCCTCCAAATATCTGGATTTTCCTACTCCCAGGTCGCTTATGCATGTTTACATAGCAGCGTGTTTGACATGATCTTGAAGTAATCACAACAAGTCTTTAATTTTGTACACTCCTCTCTTAAAAACCAGCACTCCCGAAGTTTTGGGAACTATTTTGACGACTATCCTCCGAGGACAATAATTATTAGAAGTGTGCATCTGGATCTGGCGAGTGTCTCAAATGTTGACGGATGTGCACTGGATGTGTGGTGTGGGGATGGGTTTCATTTACTTGACGTGACGGAGCTAAGGCTACTTCAGGCTATCCTCAGATCAGTGTACATGTATCTGCTGCGGGAATAATTATAAAAATGCTCTGCAGGTGTCTTAGGACTGTAGCCAGAATTCAAAAACATGTGCAAGGAACAATGCCGCATGGAAGATTCATTATTATTAATACCAGCCATTCCCACAAAAATAATCACGGAGTCTTGTTTCACTGTACCACGTGACACAGTCTTCAGTGTTAGACTTAGAGGCTATACTTGTGCATTCACTTGTACAAACACGATGTGTGTGTTCAGAAGAAAATCCAAACAAAGGTTATACACGTAACCTGTAAGTCGCTAATAACTGGGCCTGGGCGGATAATACTAGCATTATAAGTAGCATTATAGTGTGCGATTTGCAACGAGCATTATGCTAGCATTATAACACTACATTTCCCCAAAAGTGGCATTAAAAGTTTATATAATGTACTCAAATTGAAATGGCCCAACTAACGCTCGTTACTTATTATTATTATTATTAGACACAATCTCATAGCATGTGACAAGCATAGCTAATGCAGGGACAGAATCCCCCTGAGACAAGGGCGTTGAGCCAGCCACGGCAATAGTAAGCTAGGAAAACAAAGCAAAATATGAATTAAAGCAGAAAATGAATGGAAAATTACAAAGAAAAACGATTAACGGAACTTCTGCGAAAACCAGGCTTTAACAGGGTGAAAATAATTTTTTTGAGAAAAATGATGTTTTGTAAAAAGGTTGTGTCGCGTGGACGCTCGAGTGCAGTGAAGTGCAACCAAAGAGAATCTCGCTTGTTTCACGAAGTAGCTGTCAAGTGTCATGGCAGGAAGGGTTTCAGCAGTCAGGGAAGTCAAAGGGCTCCCGGTAGAATTATTCCCTGCTACTCCTCTACTAGTCACAACGAAGAATTTTTGAGCTGATCGAACGGATTCCATCTCCTACACTCAGGTATGGCGAAATTTCTGCGCTAGCTGCTGCTTGCGGAAAATGGTGAAGAAATCGTCTCTCCAGTTAGAGTCGTGATAGCGATAGCGAGGAGAACCTGGACGACATCGATCCAGCCAATCGAAGTACGGAGATAAATGTACTAGTTGTTTCTGGGCCTCACACAACGGGAACACGCGAAGCAGTGCCCATACGTTTGCAGCTGGTTCACGAGGTAAAAGGCTTGAAGCGCAGGGTAAAAACTGTTTTGAATTGAAGTCCTTGGCGATGAAGTGCTACTGTATGCCAGGCGAATGAGCGAGCAGATCGAGAGGCCTCCACTCGCGACTTTCCTCGCTGGACAGCTAGCTGCAAGGGATTGTATGGAGCAATGCTGTATGTACATGTATGTATAACTCATAATCACAAGGTGATCTTAGAGGCATTAAATTAATCAGCGAGAGAATTGTGAATGATGTCAATACTGTAATACTGTAGCAGCATAAAATTAGCGTAATGATCATGATTTTCTAGCATATTCCACTACGCAAAACTACGAAATGTGCACAATACTGCCCAAACCAAGCCATTTTCCATACTTACTACTGGTTAATTGCTGGCATTACAGAGGAACAGCAGCATTATAAGTAGCATTATGATACAGTTTTTCTGGCATTGCCATTAGCATTATCCCGCAAAATAACTAGCATTATCCGCCCAGGCCTACTAATAACTGGGTTATTGTCTTTAAGACTGTTCTGTCTGGTCTTGCCGTCCCGTCATCATACCAGGCCAGCATCCCATGAAGCCTTGGAATGTAGCTTGTGCTTGGCTCGATGGCGCTAGCCTTCCCCTCTTTGGAATTAGCACTAATATCCATGAACCTTCCAAGTCGGAAGGCCGTTGGTTAGCGCTATCGAGCAGTGCTCAAGCTGATGTTCATGCTGTGGAATGTCTCAGTACTCCTTGTCAGCTTTGTGCTAGATTGTGCACGTCTGACTGTTCAAAATCTGGTTTAGTTGGTGGACTCGATCGCATAACTTGTGCCCTCAATTTCCATGTTCACTGTTCCAATTGTCTTTGCCCGAAGTTCACTGTTCCAATTGTCTTTGTCCCGATTTCAATGGGGTATTCATGTATCGAGTTTCTTATGCTACTTCCACTCTCGGAGAATCCAACCTGTCGACTGCCTTCCGAGTAGCCAAATCTCAGCGGTGGATCCAGCGATCTCTACATTAGCTGATACTAGTGCACGTATTATGCACATCCATAGCCATCATTATGGCTTCCAGTAGTGCATTTACGAAATTTGGGGGATCCACGGAACCCCTCCTGGATCTGCCCTTGGATCTACGGCTCGCCGTGCGAGCACCAAGCTGACGGACCAGTCATGTCTCCTGATCCTGGATGTCCTGCCGCAAAACTTCGAAGTCGAGCACGACTGCACCCGCTCTGCATGGGGAGCGGTGTGACTCGTTAGTACTGGCTTGCCGTGTGGCCCGCGGGATTCGGACCCTAGCCTGCAAGCGACCAAGTTATAGTCCGTCTTTAGTTTAGCTGGTGCGCTGACTGGAAGGCGCTGAGTGCGGAAGAAAGATTTGCTCTCATTGAAGTCATTATTTTGAATGTTTGGTAGTTAGCGGCCCTGTAACGTTATAATACCGACCACAACCATTGGTTTCAAAGTGTTCCGCCACGACGCACTCCGAAGAACCGGTGCGAGCCGTGCGCCGAGTCCGCAAGCGGAGTGGATCGCTGGCGTTTATCCAGCAGAAACGGGAACGAAGGAGCGGCGACCATGGCTTCTCCTGTCACCACCGTGTTGTCGACTGTAGCCATTCTGCTGGTTCTTCTTCCGTGCAGTAGCGGACAGAGTAAGACGAGTCTTGTATCCGTTCTCTGTACTAAGCGTTATAAAAACTTCACCATGTGCGGTTCACCCACCGTCCGTAGAGGGCTCAATTTGCCGAACGCAAAGAGCGGAATACACAGACAGGAGAACGAGCAGTTGCTGTTTTGCGGTGTAATAACTTCACCACAATTGTAATTTTAGGTACTTTTCGTGCTTGGAGCGTGTAGAAGCTAGGCAGGAGAGTCATTTGTTATTACTGAGTCATTGTTGTTCACTTTCCAGCCCTGGGAACGTCAAACGTGACGATTTGATTGTGATTAATTTTACTCTCTCTCTCGCTTGGTTCTGTTTTAGCGCTTTGATTTGGAACTGGGGGGGGGGGGGGGGGAGTCAAAGAATTTCAGAGCCTAAGATCATAGAGATGAGGCTGGCCTGAGCTCATTGGGAAGTTCCAAACACTACAGTCATCTGCTAGGCGCTCACTGGCAGAATTTAATTGTGTTCCTTTGGTGCCCTCATGTGCCAAGCAGGGATGTCATGGGGGGGGGGGGGGGCAGCTTTGCATTGAGGTGGTTGGGTGGTGGTAGACACAGTTCCAGGCACATCCGACATGACGAGGTCAAGGATGTTTTCTCCGCGAGTGGTCATGGGTGGAGGGGTTGCAGCTTTGCATTCATGCCAGAGGATGTCCCCAAATTCACCATTTGAAGCCCCAAATAATCCTGATAATTGTATGCGACTGCAATTGCGATAATTATAAGGATATTATCCTTTACCTTATTTTGGGCTTTGCCCCATATCCCTCACACACTCATACTAAGCCCAAGGCAACAAGGATTTGTTTTGGAGATAGTGTGCTGCTTCGATAAACTGGTCTTGTAGTGCAAAAGCTCAAAGAGTTGGAAAGCAGTGCCAGGCCACTGGCAGCAACTAACTCCCAAGGAGCGGCGATTAACCCACACTATGCCACAATGGGTTTGCAAGGCAAAGCCAATGCAATTGGCAACAACTGGCTCGTGATGAGCCGCAACTAGCAAAGCAAATGACCAGCTAGAAACCGCAGAGCTAAATGTTCCCTAGTACCATTAGCAAGAGGATAAAATGTGAGGGAAGGAGGGTGAAAATTTGATGCTGGCACAAGCTAAAAGTCACCACTAATTTGACTTTGAAGTGAAGCCAACGGCAAGAGAGAAAGAGAAAGTTGAAAGGAAGCATTTCTGCAACGTCAGGCTAAGCGCGTCCGAATCCATGCGCCAGCAGTGTGTGTGCAGTGAGCAAAAGTTCAAAGGAAGCAGTTGTGGGACGTCAGGCTAAGCGCGCTCAAAATCTATTGGCTGGCTGTGTGAGTGCAGTGTCGAAAGCACTGATGCAGCGGTGCGTGGCAATTGCAAACATTGCAATGTGATCGATGGATGCTAACACACACTAACTACATTTACTGCGACACTAACTTTGGTGCTCGTTATTGCATTTCCATAATAATCTTGGGCTTCCTGGAAAGCTCTCCGGAGCTATGACAACTTGCAAGATCAGCCCTAGCCTGCCACTACTGATCTGGCGCAAAAGCCGTCCAGAGTTTAGTGTTTTACGGTTATAGTGGTACAGCACTCTACTGCACTTCCTGCCCATTCCTCTCTATCTTGCCCCATCACTAAAACCTGTATAATTATCATTCATGTTATTCTAATTGCGTTTACTGGCTTTATTCCTATGAAAGAATTGTCCGCAAAAGGAATGGTCGAGTTTTCACCAGTGGTTGCTGGATTCAAGAAACATAATCACCAGCCGCCTGTGAGAACAGTTTCCTCTGAGACAAAAATGCGATAATACTCATAAAAAGGCTTGAGAAGGCTTGAAAGTATACTTGTGAAGACAAAAACGTTCAAGATGTTCGTAATGAGCCTGAAGTGTGTCCTTTTTATGAGTATTATCGCCTGTGAGAAACTGTCAATTACTCAGTTTGACCGACTTAATAATAACCATGAAAAGGAGACCATGGATAGGAATAAACATTCGATGAGCAGACACCCGTACCATGTGTTTACTCTTCTGCCACAGAGCATGCTATTGAAGGGTTTCCATTGGGACAACATCACCCATATGTGCAAAAGCCCCTGCTCATAACCCCCACAACAATTCCCCTTTGAAAGCAATGTAGTTGGAAGCTCTTATTCCCCACAACGTTGGAATATCATTCAATTCCTCAATGCCAACAATTAATTTCTTTCCCATCTTTGGAGCTAGGATGTCATCTCTGCCCCTCAGCTAACAGCACTGTCCTTCTTCCATTAAGTTACTGGGGTTGCGAGTTCCGACCCTATTTCCACCTGGAAAGGAAAGTGGAATTTCAGGAATTTTGGCAGAGCATCCTCAGCTCCAATTCACAACCTCACACTAACCGTTAGCTATATGTAAATCTCTTGCCTTAAATATACAAGTAAGTATTCCACTGCACAAGTTTCTTTCACCCTGATGAATAATATAATTATTGTCTTTTCAGTCCCCAAGTAAACAGTCAAATCAGCTCAGCAACGTTGGAACAAGATTCACCATTACTATCCTCCCATTACAGAGGCAATATGCGTTGGTTCTGCAAGAGTGCTCACTGCCTGATTCAGGCAGAGCGGCGTACACAAAGGCACACAATGAAAACTTTGGCAAATTAATTCCGTTGTGACTCAGAGTCTCATGGCTGAACCAATCATCAGACAACGATAATGGAATAGGAGGAAGCGCTGGTATATCTAAGTGGAGAGAGGTGTGATAATACGATAGCGAGAGGAGTAGGCCACACCTCTTGCTGATGTTACTGTATTGTCTGTGCGTGTATATGTGTGGGTGTTACTATTATGTGTGCGTGTTAGTAGGTGTGTGTGTGTGGTGTGTGAGCGTGCTTGTTAGTGCTAGACCTGCGCCTACTGCATCTGCCTCTGAAATAGCCTGTCCCTGTATACATTCACGCGATTACTCCTCTCGCTATAGCAATATCACACCTCTCTCCATTTAGATATACCAGCGCTGCCTCCTATTCCATTATCGTTGTCTGATGATTGGTTCAGCCATGAAACTCTGAGTCACAACGGAATCAATTTGCCAAGGTTTTCATTGTGCGCCTTTGTGTAACCTCCCATTATGCATTTTCTTGTTTTTTTGCCTGGGAACGGTGATCATTTCTCCCACTTACCGGTGCACATCAGCACTGCTCAGTGTTATTTCCACGTGCATGACTCTTTAGTCACTGCCTTGCGTGCAGTCTTAACCCCTGTCACACCGACTGCATCTGCTCGGAAACTATTCTTTATCACGTAGCTCAATATCAAGAGCTCAACATCATCAAATCATTATCCCCTTACTCTAATCTGTCCTGCACGAGCGAACCTGTGGTGGACCTAATGGATTCACCGACTTTAAGTTAACACGGCAGTGATTAATAATAACTATACATCATCCACAGTGATCATAGGAAAAGATGTAATAAAATGCTAGGGAGAAAGTGGAATTCCCAAAACGAAGGGATACACAACGCTTTTCATGTACATGTTCCAGCATGACTTAAATAAGAGCTGGTGCATTCAAAACGTAACAGCAATTAGCCACGGAATACATTTTTGGAACAGGAAACCTGTTTTATAGTTATCCTCACATGGTATTGTTGAAAGCTTCTGGCCCTGCTGTGAGAGTCGAATTTGTGACAAGCTTATGCACCTCCCTTTGGGTTAGAAATAATGAATGAAAGGGAAAACTATCTATTTTTGTAACATAAGTTACGAAACGAGGAATTGCGTGTTGCTCCCTACACGGGAGCTCGTGATTTTCCTGCCGACTTGAATTCTCACTTGACTGACTCCCGACTGCCATCCAGAGCACGCGAGAGGTCCATCGAACCGTCCACCCGGCAAACCTGCAAGAAAGCACCGGTCCCTGCTCAATACACAGTATTTCGGGGCATTCACCTCTCATCAGTAGAGCTTTAGTAGGCTGAGGAAGATTGTGCCTGAAGAGCACCACTTATAATTATAGTGCTCCCAGGCACAGACATCACCAGGGATACAAACTTACAGAGACGCTCCGTTTTCAGCGCGAAAAACACCTCGTGAACACCAGATAGCAGCGTGAGTCAGTGTCGCTCATGGAGGTGCTGAAAGAGCGCTGTGGTCCGTTGGACATTCACAACGTTGTTGCCTCCAAACCATCTCATTCACAAGCCCGCGCTGGGAACAACAATGTGAAGAAGAGGTTAGTGCGACTTCGCCGATACTTGAGGAATTGTGTGTTGCTCCCTACATGGGAGCTCGCGGTTTTCCTGCCGACTTGAATTCTCACTTGAATGACTCACGACTGCAAACTCAAGAACACGAGAAGTCCATCGAACAGTCCACTCGGCAAACCTGCAAGAAAGCACCATTCCTTGCTGAATACACAGTGTTTCGGGGAATTCAACCCTCATCAGTTGAGCTTGACGTATCGCCGAAGTCGTATCAGCCTGTTCTTCACATAGTTGTCCCTAGCGCGGGCTTGCGAGATGGCTTGTAAGCAACAGCGTTGTTAATGGCCAACGGCCCCCTCAGCGTTTGTTCAGCACCTCCATGAGCGACACTGACTCACGCTGCTATCTGTTCTTCACGGGGTGTTTTTCGCCCTGGAAAAGGAGTGTCCCTGGTGACGTTTGTGCCTGGATCAGCACTACGTACATTGTAAGTGGTGCTCTTCAGGTACAATCTTCCTTAGCCTCGCGCCTACTCATGCGCTGGATGAAAAAATCCTTTATTAGTGATGTCGAAAATATTATCGACGTTTCGGGCCGCGCCAGTCACCCATCTTCAGAACATTTTACAAGAGGCGAACCTGACCTTTTGAAGAAATATTGATGGATTCTTGTTTTCTGAGGATTGCCGTAACTTTGCTCTGTGTATGAAACCCAGCAGTTCTATAGATTCTGCCTTTCTGGTGTGGTTCTATGCTTTGGGTGTTGATTTGGAAGCGTGAGTAAGCAGTGTGGAACGATGCACTGCAAAGCTTTATTTGCAAAAAACAGATATTTTGTGATACAGAATGCCAAAACCAAGCGGCATAAAATAATTACTAAAATCCAGTACGATGTGCATGCGTATTGTTGTGCATCTGCTGGTAAATGATACTAAGTTGCATTGGACACCTGATATTGCCAACACCAATGTGCATGAAAACTACTGTGTTTTCCAGGGTATAAACCTCACTGGGTTATAAGCTGCACCCCCCCCCCTTTTTACCACAAAATACAGACATCTATCCTATTGATCATGGTCAATTTGATCGGAGTATAGACCCCCCCACCACACACACACACACACTGTGTATAAACATGCACAAGCAGCCCATCGTGTGTCTTGTTCGTCCTCTGCAGTTATGCCCGTGGTTCGAATAACCCCACCCACCCAGACTGTTCTGAATGGGACTATTGCAGAACTAGTGTGCGACACCACAGCTGGTACACCACCATTCCTCTTCTCGAGGTTCTTGTCCTCAACTGATATCACGGTGGGCGTCACGAGCAACACTACGACGTCCACACTGCTGGTTGATACGGCCATGATGCAGACTTGGTCCCGTTCCTACACATGTAGGGTGACGCTGGATCAACCACTCCCAGCCAATCAGCTTTCTGGAACGGACGTCGGCACTCTGCTGACGGACTGTGAGTTGTCATGGGATGCATGCCATGCAGCACAGTGGTTTGTTATGCTATAGTAGTATCCCTGCCTGGCTAATGCGGAAGTAGTACGGAACTAATACGGAGCTTTGCCTGATGTATGTTTGGTGTGTCTCCGTATGTAAGCGTACGGCGTCTGCTGCATAAAAGCTGCTGCGCATTTCTGTTTAGATGAGATTTTATAGCAACGAGAAAGCTAACCGAGAAGAAGAAGTATTCAACCTCCAGGTGTACACCGGAGAGAAAGTTATTTATTTGCCGCTTCTTCTTTTACTAATAATTATATCCCAGGTGTGTGCCTCAGAGAAGTCGTATAAAACTAACTCTTGTTGATTGCACCGCGCCTGCCACTCGGCTACCTGTTACACTATCAGCTGTATTGTGGTCATCTGTACAAACAGACCTTGCACAACTACACAAATCCCTTTTCCACAAAAAAATATCCGGATGGGCGAGGGAACCGGATAATCGAACACACCTACATGCAATGTATGTATGCATGTCACGTGCTGTAAATCGGTAACCAACGATTTTCTTCCAATTGGCGAGGGATCTGGATAAAAGAGGACCGGATAAGCGAGGTCTGACCGTACCACAATAGTGCTACAGAGGTTATGCGAATTGTGTTGTATTGTATTGTATTGCATTATTATTCCCGTAGCTATGCAGAAGACGTTACTTCAGTAACGTCTCGCGCCAGCCAGGGTCCACACAGCTTTAGGGTTGGTTTACATAAGCAAAATCGGCGCCGCAAGACATCGCAAGACATCGGCGGTGAGCCAGCTCCCGATCCGTTGCGCATACGGTTCGAGTACCAAATCTACTACAAAGTAGTACAGAATGTGCCCAAATGCTACGACAGGTTTGCCAATTGAAGCTTGAATTCTTTGTTTCTTCAGTAGCTCAAGGTCTTTCGGTGATGGCCACTCGGTGCTACCTTTTACTGGAGATCATGAAAATACTTCTACACATTTTATTGCAGTCTAGTAAGCGATTTTGTCGAAATTATGCTTGCAAACGTTGGTGAAGTCACAAGAACTTGCCAATGTATCCATCATATTTTTATTTGTTTCAATTGTATTTGTCTCATAAGTTGCACAATGATCAAGCAGATCATCCGAGAAGGACGGGCTGGTATGCTGACTTATTTGCCACCTTGAAGCGACTACAAGAATGGCGAACGGACCTCCTCTCTAGCTTCAATTTAGGAAAATTTAGGACACGTATTGGTTTGATATTTTGACAAAGTCTGGCTCCCGGCAGCCGGCGATCACCGGCGCGAACGGTTCACAAACCACTTTTGGTCAAAATTGTAGGGATCGGCGCCCCGGGGCAGATCGCAAGAGTTGGGGCACTGTCCAACTTTGCCGGCGGTCCCTTGCGATATTTTACCGTATGATTTTGTTACGACTGCACTGGTTCACATAATCGTAATGCGCCGGGAGAGGTTGCAAGAGGCCCACTCCCGTTGACTCCCGGCGCGTACCGGCGATATGTGAACCAACCCTTAATTTGGTGTTTGTTTGTGTGCTTGTGTGTTTGTGTGTTTGTGTCACGCCTGGGGCTATCCCGTATCTGTCCCGTACCGTACCGTACCATCAAACACAGCTGGCCACATACAGCTGGCCGCACTATTCAAATCAGGGAGTGGTATTGTACTACTCCCTGATTCAAATAGGGCTTTCAAACGCAAGATCATAACGTGAAGCAACTTGGAAGAATGAGTATTAATGCGAAGTGTATGGGGGAATGCATGTAGGGCGATAGTGCGGGTTCGAATCCCAGGTAATGCCTGAAAATAGGAAAATTGAAAAATTTATAACATCCCTATTTGCGGGTTCGAATCCCAGGTAATGCCTGAAAAAAATTGAAAAATTGAAAAATTTATAACATCCCTATTCTTTTTTTGCCGTCGTCAAGGCGGTAGATTGTGTCGTATTACCCTCGACCGTACCTGTCCCGTACCTGTCCCGTATCGTACCGTACAATCAAAGACAGCTGGCCACAATGTATATTCAAATAGGGCTTTCAAATACAAGATCACAATGTGAAGCAACTTTGAAGAATTAGTATGTATGCGAAGTGTGTCTGGGGATGCATCCAGGGCGATAGTGCGGGTTCGAATCCCAGGTTATGTCTAAAAACAAAAAGTAGAAACTTATAAGAATTTAAGATCATCCCTATGCTTTTTTTGTCTAGGTCATCAAGTGAAAAAAGCATAGCGTAGGGCCCTGAGCTTCCAAGCTCTCTCGTTTTATTGTTTTACTTGGGTATTCCCAACAGACCCTAAGGTCTTCTTACAGGGTGCCCAAGATGCGAATGATGCACACAACTGCTGTAACAAAAGCATGTACATTTAATCCCAAACCTACCCAAGACTAACCTACTCACCCATTTTTATACTGGCTCATTGATCCTTGAGCCGCGGTGATGTTCCCATGGTTGCGCAGATTCTGTCTGATGCTGTCAAATCCGAAACATAGAATTTGATTTTATAATTTTGTTGGATGTGAAGGTTGGTGCTTTCTGCAGCCGGTAAAGTTCCTGATCACTAGGTATTCTGTATTTGAATATGTTTTCACAATGTGTCTTTGTGTGTGTGTGTGTGTTTGCGTGTGTGTGTGTGTGGGGGGGGGGGGGGGTGTGTGTGTGTGGGGGGGGTGTGTGTGTGTGTGGGGGGGGGGGGGGGAGAGAGATAGGTGTGTGTGTGTGTGTGTGTGTGTGTGTGTGTGTGTTTGTGTGTGTGTGGGGGGGGGGGAGAGAGAGATAGGTTTTTGTGTGTTTGTGTGTTTGTGTGTTTGTGTGTATGTGTGTGCGTGTGTGGTTTTGTGTGTGATTGTGTGTGTATGTGTGTGTTGGTGTGTGTGTGTGTGTGTTTGTGAGAGAGAGAGAGAGAGAGAGAGAGAGAGAGAGAGAGAGAGAGAGAGGTGTGTGTGTGTGTGTGAGAGAGAGAGGTGTGTGTGTTTGCGTGTGTGTGTGTGGGGGGGGGGTGTGTGTGTGTGTGGGGGGGGGGGGGGTGTGTGTGTGGGGGGGGGGGGGAGAGAGATAGGTGTGTGTGTGTGTGTGTGTGTGTGTGTGTTTGTGTGTGTGTGGGGGGGGGGGAGAGAGAGATAGGTTTTTGTGTGTTTGTGTGTTTGTGTGTTTGTGTGTATGTGTGTGCGTGTGTGGTTTTGTGTGTGATTGTGTGTGTATGTGTGTGTTGGTGTGTGTGTGTGTGTGTTTGTGAGAGAGAGAGAGAGAGAGAGAGAGAGAGAGAGAGGTGTGTGTGTGTGTGTGAGAGAGAGAGGTGTGTGTGTTTGCGTGTGTGTGTGTGTGGGGGGGGGGTGTGTGTGTGTGGGGGGGGGGGGGTGTGTGTGTGGGGGGGGGGGGGGAGAGAGATAGGTGTGTGTGTGTGTGTGTGTGTGTGTGTGTGTGTGTTTGTGTGTGTGTGGGGGGGGGGGGAGAGAGAGATAGGTTTTTGTGTGTTTGTGTGTTTGTGTGTTTGTGTGTATGTGTGTGCGTGTGTGGTTTTGTGTGTGATTGTGTGTGTATGTGTGTGTTGGTGTGTGTGTGTGTGTGTTTGTGAGAGAGAGAGAGAGAGAGAGAGAGAGAGAGAGGTGTGTGTGTGTGTGTGAGAGAGAGAGGTGTGTGTGTGTGTGTGTGTGTGTGTGTGTGTGTGTGTGTGTGTGTGTGTGGTTTTGTGTGAGGTTGTGTGTGTGTGTTTGTGTGTGTGTGTGTGTGTGTGTGTTCGTGTATGCGTGTATGTGATCATGTGCATGCACGTGTGTATGTGCGTGCTTTTGTTGCATATTCAGTCCCACCCGTGGTCTCGGTCAATGACGTCACTGGAGTCGCCAGTGAACGGATTGAAATCGTGTGTCGCGTCCTCAGCGATCCACCACCGGCGTCGAATCAAGTCGTTGTGGTATTGAGCAGCGGTATGGTGGTGGGACCTTTTTCAATTTCCTCTGCCAGTGGGACGCCACGCACTACTATCTTTTCTTTCCAGATCCAGACGGCCGACCCAGCCCTTCATGCAGGCCCGGCAGTCTGCCGCACCAGAGTAACTCTTGATAGCGGAACAGAAGAGGTTAACGGTTCCTTCAACATCGCTTTTCTCGTCGGTGAGCCTCTCTTAAAACTGTTCTTTAGTAACATAAGATAGTGAGTAGCACCCAGAGAAAAGATCTATGTTCATATCGGGTTGTTAAAGCACTCATTCTATACTGTAATGACTTGTATTAGAGCCTATCTCGTATAGAAGCCGGTTTTGAATAGAAGCCTGATTTTAAAGTTTCACTGTCGACTCGAGAGATAGCCTGGTTTTAGTGTTGACATACATAGAAATACCTTGTTTGACACTGTGGGACCTGATTTTAAAGACCACCCTGCTTTAACGACCGCTTTCGCTTGCACCGTGGGGTGGTCTGTTAGACCAGGTTTTACTGTAAATAGAAATACCTAATTTGAATAGACGTGTGATGTGAATAGTAGCCGGGAACTGACATAGGCTTCTACAGGAATAAGTCCGGCTTTAATACGCGACATTACAGTAGCCTTTTTTTTTTTTTTTTCTAAGGCCACAGCTTCCAATCCTGACATGCAAAGCAGCGGTGCAGCATCGCCAGCATGAATCGTGGACGTGGTGCCCCCTTAATAAGCGACATTACAGTAGGTTTTATGTCAGGATTGTAATTTTAAGTTACCAATGTATCATAGAAGTTGACAAATCCGTTGATCCCCGAGCAGCAGAGAGTGCTCAATGTCAGAGACAGAGCTTAGTACATAGCAGACTCAGCGGGAGACGTTGAGGTTGGTTGTAACTATGAGTGTCGTGCTGCTAGGCAATGATCAGGCAACTGATACTCGGATCTGCCCAGCATTGCGCTGAGTCTGCTATGTACTAAGCTCTCTCCCTGACATTGAGCACTCTCTGCAGCTCGGGGTTCAGCGGATTTGTCCACGCTCCTGGCTCTTCCCAGTCGTGGACTCTACCCCTACACTGCAAGCTAGGTATGGTCGTTTCAAGGTTAGTACAACTGGGATATTCTCTGAAGAACATCCCTCTACCGCCACCCAAGCAGTACCGTCGGAAATGTCTGAAGGACAGGATTGAGCATGTCATCAAGCGTTTGAGGTGTTCCGCCTTGTTCTACCTCAATGGCGAGGAACGCGAGAAGGAGCAACCAGAACGCTTCGGCTTCAAGAGCAGGACATGTCCTCCGCAAGTCGATGAACTGAAGGCCTTTGAAGAGTACCTGATTCGCGGTCAGCTTCCGCTAAGTATCAGACAGCCTCCAAGACGCTATGAGAAAAGACACCAAAACGATCAAAATTCTAATGACATCATCGTGAAAGCCTATAAAACCCGGAATTTGTCCCAAGTAACAAAAGAGCCGCCCATCTGGCTGCGAGCTTGTACGTGACGTGATGTTTGGTGTCGTGGATGGTAAGAGAAAGCGTGGTCGTCCGAAAATTTCCTTTGCTGACAATATCGTTTCGTGGACTGGTATATCTCTGCATGAGAATTGCCAATTGGCATCTGACAGAGATGCCTGGCAGTCACACTGTGCATCTACTGCTTACACAGCTGCATAATGCCGTTTATTATTTTATTATTTATTTTACTATTATTATTTTTTTGGCAACGCAGATGATGATGATGATGATGAACAAAAGAGCAATACAGCAAGCTGATGAGAGAGAATATCACCGAAAACTACCAGATCGCGCCTGAGAATGTGTAATATGAAGGCAACAGTGAGGCGAGGGAGATCGCTGAGGGTCTAGATCTTCACAACAGGTTGGACGTACTGGCTAAGTCAGAAGCATTTATCACACTTAAAGATCATCAAGATAACTAGGGGTGAAACGATTACACTAACTTGTCTTTTCAACTATCGATTAACCTACCCTTGTATCGATTTGATTATCGATTTTGATATCGATTACTGCGTCCTAGAAATGTTCGGGTGCAGACAGTCAGTTTATATTTATTACTTTTTTCACTATTAAACAGACCTTCTAGACCGGAAAAAGTGTGGATAATCGGAAAAGGACAAAGTATATTGCGCATGCGCACATGCACTGTCCATTTGCAATGTACGTAACTTTATCGGATCCTACAGGTCCGCCCTCGTTATAACGAGTCCGGTTAGTACAAACACCCCGTTAGTAAATAGAAATCTGAAATCCCCAGGCGAAACGTGGTCTATACAACTGTTTACAGGTCCGGTTACAACATAATCCGTTGGTACATAAAATTCGTCATACCGACCCTTTGCCCAGGTCCCTGGAGTTCCAACCCCTCAGTATAAGATAATACTGATCATGCAGGACCAAGGCAAAAACACGTAGGATAAAGCAGAAAGACGAAACGTGATATATCTATGTATTCGCGAATATGGACGATCCTTTTCATGCAAGGAAGAGTTATGTTGGATATTTTTCAATTATCTTATAACGAGTTGAAGCATCGATAATTTAGGTTGTATTGAGGGTAGCCCCGGTAAGTAAGACGTAGTCCCTATTTCACCTTTACCTGTAAGTCCTGCTACAAGATAAGTCTCGTTATAAGATAACTTTTTCGATTGCCCAGAGATTATCTACTAACGAGGGAGGACCTGTACACGCAGTAAGTCATGTACATGACATCTTCTGCAGGTTTTTTATTTTTTATTCTTTATTCTTTAGAATCATCTACTCTAAACAGACAGCATAATCGAAATCGCTTCGTTGTAATGATCGATTAGACGGATAGCGGATATAATCGTTTCAGCCCTAAAGACAACTTCGATTTCGCTAGAGCATTGCCCTGCAGACTCATTAAATAGTAAGCCTCGCTGGAGTATAAACCTCACTGGGGTATAAACCTCACTGGGGTATAAACCTCACTGGAGTATAAACCTCACTGGAGTATACACCTCACTGGGGTAAAGCCTCACTGGTGTATAAACCTCACAGGGGTGTAAACCTCACTGGGGTATAAACCTCACAGGAGTATAAACCTCACTGGAGTATAAACCTCACTGGAGTATCATATTTATCACCGTTAATTTGATCAATGGAGTAAAAGCCCCCCCCCCCCCACACACACACTAAGAATGGACATGGAACTCATCGTATGTCTTGTTTGTCCTCTGCAGTTATGCCCGTGGTTCGAATAACCCCACCCACCCAGACTGTTCTGAATGGCACCATTGCAGAACTAGTGTGCGACACCACAGCTGGTACACCACCATTCCTCTTCTCATGGTTCTTGTCCTCAACCGAGATCACGGTGGGCGTCACGAGCAACACTACGACGTCCACACTGCTGGTTGATACGGCCATGATGCAGACCAGGTCCCGTTCCTACACATGTAGGGTGACGCTGGATCAACCACTCCCGGCCAATCAGCTTTCTGCAACGGACGTCGGCACTCTGCTGACGGACTGTGAGTTGTCATGGGATGACATGCAGCACATTAGTTTGTTATGCTATCAGCTGTATTGTGGTCATCTGTACAAACAGACCTTGCACAACCACACACATCCGTTTTCCACAAAAAAAATATCCGGATAGGCGAGGGAACCGGATAATCGAACACACATATATGCAATGTACATGTATGCATAATGTATGCATAACGGAAACTGTCTGATGCTGTCTAATCCGAAACATAGAATCTTATTTTATAATAATTTTGTTTGATATGAAGGTTGGTGCTTTCTGCAGCCGGTAAAGTTACTGATTACTAAGTTTTCTGTGTGTGAATGTGTTTTCACATGTGTGGTTTTGTGTGTGTTTGTGTGCGTGTGTGTGTGTGGGGGGTGTGTGTGTGTGTGTGAGAGAGAGAGAGAGAGAGAGAGAGAGAGAAGTGTGTGTGTGTGTGTGTGTGTGTGTGTGTGAGAGAGAGAGAGAGAGAGAGAGAGACAGAGAGAGAGACAGAGAGAGAGAGATTTGTGTGTGTGTGTGTGTGTGTGTGTGTGTGTGTATGTGTGTGTGTGTGAGAGAGAGAGAGAGAGAGGTGTGTGTGTGTGTGTGTGATTTTGTGTGTTATTGTGTGTGTGTGTTTGTGTGTGTGTGTGTGTGTGTGTGTGTATAAAAGTATAATAATATGTGTGTGTATGCGTGTATGTGATCATGTCCATGCACGTGTGTATATGCATGTACGTGTGTATGTGCGTGTTTTTGCCGCATATTCAGTCCCACCCGTGGTCTCGGTCAATGACGTCACTGGAGTCGCCGGTGAACGGATTGAAATCGTGTGTCGCATCCGCAGCGATCCACCACCGGCGTCGAATCAAGTCGTTGTGGTATTGAGCAGCGGTATGGTGGTGGGACCTTTTTTGGTTTCCGCTTTCAGTGGGCCGCCACGCACTACTATCTTTTCTTTCCAGATCCAGACGGCCGACCCAGCCCTTCATGCAGGCCCGGCAGTCTGCCGCACCAGAGTAACTCTTGATAGCGGAACAGAAGAGGTTAACAGTTCCTTCAACATCGCTGGTCTCGTCGGTGAGTCTCTCTTAAAACTGTTCTTTAGTTACATAACATAGTGAGGAGCAGCCAGAGAAAAGATCTATGTTCATATCGGGTTGTTAAAGGACTCATTCTATACTCTAATGACTTGTATTAGAGCCTATCTCGTATAGAAGCCTGTTTTGAATAGAAGCCTGATTTTAAAGTTTCACTGTCGACTCGAGCGATAGCCTGGTTTTAGTGTTGACATACATAGAAATGAAGTCGAAAACACCACTGCAGCTGTACTTATGGTTGATAAATATGGTGTGTGGGCAGGCGTGTGTTTACCGCCATATTGCCAGGTGTGTCTTTACCACCATATTTATCAACCATAAGTACAGCTGCAGTGGTGTTTTCGACTTCATTCTCCCGAGTCAAGCTCCGTATGAAGACATCCAAGAAGAAGATTGCCTGATGAGTCCAGCAGGGACGAAACGTACGTCGCAATCGAGCTATGTCGTTGCTGTGTCATCATCTATGTGCCATGCGCTACTTGATGTACCAGCCTGCTATGCCGGATACCGCCAGCCATGCATCGACCAGGCGCCAGGCGCGAACTGATGGTGGTGGTGGTGGTGGCGAGAAGGAGAGCTCTGTGCCAGAACTTTGCAGCCTAGAGAGCATGTGTGGGCAGGCGTGTGTTTACCGCCATATTGCCAGGTGTGTCTTTACCACCATATTTATCAACCATAAGTACAGCTGCAGTGGTGTTTTCGACTTCATTCTCCCGAGTCAAGCTCCGTATGAAGACATCCAAGAAGAAGATTGCCTGATAAGTCCAGCGGGGACGAAACGTACGTCGCAATCGAGCTATGTCGTTGCTGTGTCATCATCTATGTGCCATGCGCTACTTGATGTACCAGCCTGCTATCCCGGATACCGCCAGCCATGCATCGACCAGGCGCCAGGCGCGAACTGATGGTGGTGGTGGTGGTGGCGAGAAGGAGAGCTCTGTGCCAGAACTTTGCAGCCTAGAGAGCGTGTGTGGGCAGGCGTGTGTTTACCGCCGTATTGCCAGGTGTGTTTACCACCATATTTATCAACCATGCATAGAAATACCTTGTTTGAGACTGTGGGACCTGATTCTAAAGACCACCCTGCTTTAACGACCGCTTTTGCTTGCACCGTGGGTTGGTCTCTTAAAGGTTTTACTGTAAATAGAAATACCTTGTTTGAATAGACGTGTGATGTGAATAGTAACCGAGCACTGACATCGGCTTCTACAGGAATAAGTCCGTCTTTAATACGCGACATTACAGTAGCCTTTTTTTAATTTTTTTTATAAAAGCCACAGCTTCCAATCATGACATGCAAAGCAGCGGTGCAGCATCGCAGGCATGAATCGTGGACGTGGTGCCCCCTTGATACGCGACATTACAGTAGCTATTATGTCCGTATTGTAATTTTAAGTTACGAATGTATCAAAGAAGTTGACAAATCCGTTGATCCCCGAGCAGCAGAGAGTGCTTAATGTCAGAGACAGAGCTTAGTACATAGCAGACTCAGCGGGAGACGATCAGGTTGGTTGTAACTCTGAGTTTTGTGCCGCTAGGCAATGATCAGGCAACTGATACTCGGATCTGCCCAGCATTGCGCTGAGTCTGCTATGTACTAAGCTCTGTTTCTGAAATTGAGCACTCTCTGCAGCTCGGGGTTGAACGGATTTGTCCACGCTCCTGGCTCTTCCCAGTCGAGGACTCTACCCCTACACTGCAAGCTAGCTATGGTCGTTTCAAGGTCAATACAACTGGGATATTCCCTGAAGAACATCCCTCTACCGTCACCCAAGCAGTACCTTCGGAAATGTCTGATTGACAGGATTGAGCAAGTCATCAAGCGTATGAGGTGTTCCGCCTTGTTCTACCTCAATGGCGAGGAACGCAAAGATGAGCAACCCGAACGCTTCAAGGCTTCAAGAGCAGGACATGTCCTCCGCAAGTCGATGAACTGAAGGCCTTTGAAGAGTACCTCATTTGCGTGGCTGAAACGGTCAGCTTCCGCTACGTAGCGGACAACCTCCAAGACGCTATGAGAAAAGACAAAAAAACAATCAAAAATTCTAAGGACATTTTCGTGAAAGCCTATAAAATTCGGAATTTGTACCCAGTTCCAAAAGATCAATACAACAAGCTGGTGAGAGAGAATTTCACCAAAAACTACCAGATCGCGCCTGAGAATGTGTACGATGAAGGCAACAGTGAGGCGAGGGAGATCGCTGAGGGTCTAGATCTTCAGAACAGGATGGACGTACTGGCTAAGTCAGAAGCATTTATCACCCTGAAAGATCATCAAGATAACTAGGGGTGAAACGATTACACTTTTCAACTGTCGGTTAAAGGGGAACTCCACGAAAAAATGAAAATTTGATAGCCTGTAGAGTTTCGGGCGCTGAGTCGAATGGTCTTGGTCCGAAGTCTCTACGAGAAAGCGTTCTTGAGATATTTCAATTTTAGCCACGCCCCATACCAATGTATGTGTGACGTCATTGTGGCAATGTGCGAAAATACTTGGATTTTGAATCTCACTTTCTTCAGGACGAAAGTCACTTCAGAAAGTAGTTTGCCAAGTCGCCTGAGCCGCTGCAATGCCAAATTGTTGTGTTGTTGATTGTGCCAGTATCACATCATCCTCCTGGGGTTAGTTTTCTCAAATTCCCAAAGGATGGAGACCTGGCAAAGCGCCGAGATGTTGCAATGCGTCGTGAAAATTTCAAGCCTATTTTCGCAGCACGAGCTATGTTTGCTCGCTGCATTTATGATCCAGAGGGACTTGAGAGCTGAGTTTTGACGAGTACGCCGTCCAGGAAAGCCCTCATCAGTGTACCAGTGCCCTCCGAACCGTGAGCCTCCAGCAAAGCGAACTCAACAAGCTGCAACTGAGAAAGCAGGGCGAGATACGTCCCATCAGGATCAGAAGAGTACATCACCCCATCAACTCCGACTGCAGCTAGCTGATGAACGATATTACCCCAGTAACTTTGCGCATACCAGTACTCAAACTGTGCACATCTGTCATCAACTGGGACGCAAACAGACAGACCCCCAGCAAGTACGAAGGTTACAGAACTGTTTGCTTGCGATGTGCAGGCAGCATGCACGACGAACTGTCTCACCAATCCTGCCAAACTGAACCAGTGTAAGTTGATTGCGTGGATATGTCTCTATTTATAACAGCTACCCTACTTCTAGGCATGGTTGCATGAATACCATATCACTCAGAGCAGTTGTTAGAAGTCTGGACAGCCTTGGAATAGTGCAAGTAAAGTGAAACAAAAATATATTACACTCCGAGTTCCACGCTTGCGGGATCACCAGGCCAAAAAAAATCTAATTTCGAACAAGGAATGGGTTCTGGTTGTATGCGATAGAAAAGTAAGTGAAGACCTATTGTGCAAGGAATACAGTAGGAACTACACATATTATACACATGCACTCACACCATCACCCACATGCGCGCGCGTGCGTGTGCGTGCACACACACAAACACAACAACACACACACATACGCACCCACATACTCAAACTCACTCGCACGCACGCTAGCCTAAGGATAGTAGATATGCTGTAGTAGTGGTATACTTAGTGAAATGACTATGTGTACATCTAATGACGCCGCCACTCCACGCCAGAAGACAACAAACATCTGCTGCAACATTTTTGCTCCCGTCTCTTATGGGCAACACAGGGAATGAAACGAACAATGCAATTGAGAACAAGAGTCGTCCTGTACGGTGAAGTTTCCATTTTCTCATACAGCAGTATATTGTCTAAGCAAGTGTGTTTTCTCCACATTCTTTTTGCCATGCAGGTATATCACAGTGTCATGCCAAACTACATTCTCAAACGCATTCGTTTCTCAATTCTGGGGATGATTGGACACGCACATCTCGCAGCTCTTGACGACGTCAATGTCAACCGTCGCCACAGCACAACCAAAAAGACCGCGATAGGAAGGTATAAAGTCCAGTTCTCAAAGCATAAAGAAGACTGTGGCCAAATAGAAAATTATACGACAGAAAGAGCTATGAGTATGTTGACAAGCTCATGTGTGAGGTGGTAGCGGTTGCAAATGGCAACCTCCATGTTCCTGCCTTGGAGAAGCGTGTTTCCCTGCCAAATTCCAGGTGGAAGCCTCCTGAGAAGGCTGAGGTGGTGCAGGATTTGGATATCTTTGCCTGATGGTATTCACAACGCAGGCTGGAAGACGACAACGAACATGCTTGCCCAATTTGCCGTGTACATAGTGTGTACTGCCTGTGTGCCGCATAGCGTAGAGATCTACACAAACACAGAATGTCATATGGAATGTGTATGATGAGTGCTTGTACACATACCACATTGCTGTACCGTAATAATTATTATAGTCAAATACTCATTTACTCTACATATGCGCTGTATTGCACCTACCGGTACCTACCTGCACTTTCAGTGCGCGCGCCATACTAATTTAGTGTCCACTGGTACAAAGATGGAGGGTCTTGTAGAATTTACCATAATTGCTGATTTCAAATTGAATTCCAATGATCTGGGGGATGAATACTGATTAGGACGCGTTCGATTACCTACTAGTACAGAGATGTCTTGGTCAGAAAGTACAGATTTCTTACTCTCCTGCCAGAATTTGTGCATTATTTTGGTGTACGCTTTCTTGACCCCACGCTTGTACGTTGCATGCCATGGTATACTAGAAAACGAGTTTATTGACAAAGTCTATCGCTTGAAACGATAAAGTATGGGTTCGGGTGTGATCAAAATTAATGCACCCATGGTGCTCATAAACTGTGTGCAGTGCTCTCTTCACACACAGAACACTACCTACCATACTTTGTAGATCTTGTACCAATCCAAGGGAAAATGACAAAGACAAATGTAAGTCATGCGTGAAAACTTGTGATAGCACGGTCTATAGTACAGAACAACGTTGTTCGTGCTATGCCTGACAACAATAATTAGTTACACACAAAACATTACGCGCATCGATCCTCACAAGATAAGTCAAGACATACTCGGAGCAAAGAGAAATTTGTTTGTGTCATGCATGAAACTTGTGATAACTACCAGTACAATGTCTTTCTTGTGCGACGCCTACTGTAGTGCGCCTGACAACAATAAATTTCCCCAAAAAATAAGAATAAGTGTATCATGCTGATACGCAATCCTCACAAGACAAGTCAAGGCAAACTAATTGAGGCTTACCTAATGTCAGACTCTTCTGTCACTGGCATTGGCGGCTTCTGCATGTCGAGATAACCTCGAAGAGCAGTGATGAGCACAGCCTAATGCAAGGATACGATCTCGTAATCTGCGAGGTCCGCTACGCAAGAAACCTTGGGCCGTCTTGTCGACAGCGACGGCAGCATCCTACCAGCAAAATCATTCCCGCGGGCTGGGCATGGCTATACACTTTTGTCCACGCTCGCACCAGTCGGAGTCCCAAACGAATCGAGATTCTGGTGGCCAAGCTACTCGTCTTCTGTCGGACGCAGCTGCTGACGCATCTTCTTCCTCCACATTTGTTACACGCGATGGCAGCTCCTCAGCAGAGTATCTGGGCTCCCTGCCCCAACCATACGCGGCGGTGGGCTGTTGGTCGTCCTCACTGGCCTCAGCATCGCTGCCTTCATTGCTGGGGACAGAGGATTGTTCGGAATCTCCCATCTTCCCTTGAAATACCAACTAAAATTAGTGCTTGTAGACTGGCGAAGAGAAACGACTTTGCCACAATGACGTAGGCAGCCCGTGATGATGTAACCAAATGGCCGCATGACGTCAGGGCGCGGCCCCCGTTTTTGCAATTTCAAAGTGAAATATCTCAAGAACGCTTCGTCGTAGAGACTTCGGACAAAGACCAATCGACTCAGCGCCCGAACCTCTACAGGCTATCAAAGTTTCATTTTTTCGTGGAGTTCCCCTTTAACCTACCCTTGTATCGATTTGATTATCGATTATGATTATCGATTACTGCGTCCTAGAAATGTGCGGGTGCAGACAGTCAGTTTTTCTTATTACTTTTTTTACTATTAAACAGCCCTTCTAGACCGGAAAAAGTGCGGATAATCGGAAAAGGACAAAGTATATTGTGCATGCGTACATGCACTGTCCATCTGCAATGTACGTAACTTTATCGTATCCTACTACATGTACATACAGTCAGTCATGTACATGACATCTTCTGCAGGTTTTTTATTTTTTATTTTTTATTTATAAGATAAATTGTGCACTCATAACAACAGCAAAAATGAAGAAAGTCAAGTTCCATAACGTTTTCTTGTGACTGTCATCAGTGGAACGCCGTCACATAAAAATGTAATAACTAAAACACACACTTATATACATGTAGCAAATATGGTTTCAGGTAGAAATACAGCAGCTAACAAGTACAAAAAGCGAAGTTTGCACCTTTGCAATGTGTGAATATAGTGTATGTGAGAAAGGTAGTGGCAGATGAATGTGATACTGTGTGAATAAATGTAATGGTGCGTGGGTATTACTTGAAGAGTGTGAGTGATACAACGACGATTGTTTAAATATTTTTTATTTATTTAATTTTTAGAATCGTCTACTCTAAACAGACAGCATAATCGAAATCGCTTCGTTGTAATGATCGATTAGACGGATAACGGATATAATCGTTTCAGGCCTAAGATAACTTCGATTTCGCTAGAGCATTGCCCTGCAGACTCATTCCATAGTAAGCCTCACTGGAGTATAAACCTCACTGGGGTATACACCTCACTGGAGTACAAACCTCACTGGAGTATAAACCTCAATAGAGTATAAACCTCACTGGAGTATCATATTTATCACCGTTAATTTGATCAATGGAGTAAAAGCCCCCCCCCCCACACACACACACACTAAGAATGGACATGGAACTCATCGTATGTCTTGTTTGTCCTCTGCAGTTATGCCCTTGGTTCGAATAACCCCACCCACCCAGACTGTTCTGAATGGCACTATTGCAGAACTAGTGTGCGACACCACAGCTGGTACACCACCATTCCTCTTCTCATGGTTCTTGTCCTCAACCGAGATCACGGTGGGCGTCACGAGCAACGCTACGACGTCCACACTGCTGGTTGATACGGCCATGATGCAGACCAGGTCCCGTTCTTACACATGTAGGGTGACGCTGGATCAACCACTTCCGGCCAATCAGCTTTCTGGAACGGACGTCGGCACTCTGCTGACGGACTGTGAGTTGTCATGCCATGATGACATGGAGCACAGTGGTTTGTTATGCTATCAGCTGTATTGTGGTCATCTGTACAAACAGACCTTGCACAGCCACACAAATCCGTTTTCCACGAAAAATATCCGGATAGGCGAGGGAACCGGATAATCGAACACACCTACATGCATTGTATGTATGCATGTCACGTGCTGTAAATCGGTAACCAACGATTTTCTTCGGGTTGGCGAGGGATCCGGATAAAAGAGGACCGGATAAGCAAGGTCTGACTGTACCACAGTAGTGCTACAGAGGTTATGCGAATGATGCACACAACTGCAGTAACAATAGCCCGTATATGTAACCCCAAACCAACCCAGGACTAACATATTCACCCATTTTTACACTGGCTCATCGATCCTTGAGCCGCGGTGATGTTCCCATGGTTTCGGAAAATTCTGTCAGATTCCGTCTCACGTTAACCACAAAATTTAATTTTATAATTTTGTTGGATGTGAAGGTTGGTGCTTTCTGCAGCCGGTAAAGTTCCTGATTGCTAGGTACTCTGTGTCTATGTGTGTGTGTGTGTGTCTATGTGTGTCTATGTGTATATGTGTGTATATATATGCGTGTGTGTATGTATGTGTGCATGCACGCGTGTATGTGCACACGTGTGTGTGTGTGTGTTTCTGCTCCACGTTCAGTCCCACCCGTGGTCTCGGTCAATGACGTCACTGGAGTCGCCGGTGAACGGATTGAAATCGTGTGTCGCATCCGCAGCGATCCACCACCGGCGTCGAATCAAGTCGTTGTGGTACTGAGCAGTGGTATGGTGGTGGGACCTTTTTCGATTTCCGTTGTCAGTGGGGCGCCACCGACTACTACCTTTCGTTTCCAGATCCAGACGGCCGACCCAGCCCTTCATGCAGGCCCGGCAGTCTGCCGCACCAGAGTAACTCTTGATAGCAGAACAGTAGAGGTTAACGGTTCCTTCAACATCGCTGTTGGTAAGTACCAAACAGAGAAAAACTATAATTATGTGCAGGGGCGTCGGACACGGTACGGTCACTACGGTATTGACCATACCACTTTTTGCCCCAGGTACACCGTGAATCGATAAAATACACTGATCTGGGATCTAAATTTCCAAAATTTTCGGCTCAGCTGCCACTCCCCCACGAGTAAATAGTACTTCAGATGGCTGACCGTACCACACTAAAATACCTTCCGACGCCCCTGATGTGTATATCAGGGTGTTAAAAACTCATTGCACTCCGTAGTGACTTGTATTAGAGCCTATCTCATAAAGAAGTCTGTTTTGAATAGAAGCTTGATTTTCAAGTTTCACTGTCGGCAGATGGCGCCTGATTATAGTGTTGGTGTACGTAGAAATACCTGGTTTGAATGGAAGCTTGATGTGAGAAGAAGCCTAGCCCGCACATCGGCTTCTACAGGAATAAATCTGGCTTTCATAATTATGTATGATTGACTGTGTGGATTCGGATGATACAGTTTCTCTTGCTTTCATGGTTTTGCCCTTCAGATGTTCTGTTACTGGATGGAAGTGGCACGGTGTTCCGAACAATGTACCGCGAGAACCAGCTTGCTCCCACCATTCTCTCACTGCAGCATTCAGCCACTCTGGTTGGAGAGTCAGCCGCCTGCCAGACGTCCATAGAGCTAACAGCGTACGTAGCTGTGTGCACGGTTTGTTGTGCATTGGTGTGTTTGTGTGAGTGTGTGTGTGTGTGTGTGTGTGTGTGTGTGTGTGTGTATGTGGGCGCGCGATGTGTGTGCATGTGTTCGTGTGTGTTCTTGTGTGTATCTGATTTGGTGAGTCAGTTGCCAGCCAGACGTCCACAGAGCTAAAGTTTTACATGATGCTCTGATCTTGTGCATGCGTGTGCGTGTCCTGTCATGTTGGTCTGTAGAATGATTTTACCCCAGTCACATCAAGGCGCACACTTAACCTGACTGGCGCAATCAGTTTTTTGACTGGTCCCGCTGCACTACAGCTAGTCATACTGTCGTGTATGATGTGGCGAGTAAACACAAGCCTCTTACCAGCTAACACCCGTCGCTGAGCGGAGACTTGGTCCGGCTATGGCCTAACCAACCGCACTGGTTCCACCGGCTCTGTTTCGCAGTCAGTGAATACACCGGACAAAAGCATGACAAGAACCTAAAACTGGGCAAGGAACTTGTTATCCAATGCGACTAAAATTCCATTGCAAACAATAAGATTATTAGCACGTTTCTTCAACTTTCTTCAACTGTTTATGAAAATGCAGTTCAACTGTTTATGAAAATGCAGTTTCAAATACAGTTAAGAGCAGAGCCCACACACTGCACTTGTAACAGGTCGTAGTTGATATTTGAAGAAAGAGGCTGAGCAGGATCCTGCTCAGCGCTTATATATATCAGATAGGTGTGAATATTGTGAGAAGGAGGGTGAGACGGTCAGAAGGTAAAAAGGTGAGAAGGAAGGTAAATGGGTGACAACTGTGACAGCACTAATTCCACTCATTATATAATATTACAACGTTTTGGCAAACTGCCTTCACCAGATACAGACATTGTAGTTTGCTTCTTTTTGGTGCATGTTCTCGTGTCCCATATTAGGTCTTCTGGCACCTTGGATGATGTGGCATTCGAGAAGATCTTCCCCACCAAGGCGGTGATGTCACCTAATATTATGGTGAGTCAGGACGTGGCTTTCTGTGCTTCGTTCCCGACAAGGATGCTGGGTCGAAGCAGTTTGTGTTGATCTGCAGTTGTGACTACTACGCAGTGCTAGTAGGATGTTGTTGCTGGATGCTGAGCACACGCTACAGATCATCTGATCACATCACGGCTGGAAATGGTTTGCATGGAGTGGGTGATTATATCATCATTTGAGATTATTTGTATAGAGTCGCACTTGAAACACTCCTAACTCACCCAGAAAAAAGTCAGTGTGGCTTACACTACGATGGTAAAATGAATGGTGACATGCAGGGTGGATGTCTGTTCTTCGTGAGGAAAACATCTGGGTGCACATTACATGTACATTACAGTGCGGCTTCCACGCGAGAAAAAAACTAGGGCTGAAACGACCATTCAATAACTCCTAACGATCAACCAACATCATTTACGATCGATATATTGGTTTTATCGATTGAAGAAATTCCACGATACCTTTGCTACGTTAGACGTTTGTGGCTGTGCACTGTTGACAACTGTAGACATCTGGACATGAACTAGAAAATTTCAATATTGTTTCTAGAGTGGATAATTTTGTCATCGCCCTCTGGCAACTGCTCTTACGTTCTTACGACCGACCTCTCCCACAAATGAACCGAAAAGACAAAGTCGTCTCTCCCAATCTCTTTCAGAGCCACAAATCAATTTTACTGCGCTTGCAAGTACAACACATAACTGTACTTGGTCCGTTTTATCGCAAGTGTCGCTTATCTTTCGCCACTAAGAACAGGAGTTTTTTTACCGCTCTGTAAAATTTCCAACAGGCATAGTAAGGAAGCATGATACATGAATACTCTCCGCCACAAGAACAAAATTTCAGCAATGGAATCAGGTGAAGCGAGTCGAAGAAAGGAAGCAAGGTAAGCAAAATGCATGAAATAAATCAGCGAAGGAGCGCGTTCTTGCACTCACACTAGTAATACAGGTCCAGAGTTCACTCAACTCTGCATCTCTTGAGCCGCGCCGTTACATGAGCTGACATTTGCTGGTGTCTAGCTGCTGGCGTAGACTGGTAGAGTATCTCTTGCGTTCTCAGCCTGTCGTATGGCAGCAATGGGAAAGGAACAGTTGTGGCTGTCACTTCGGTGCTTGAAGGAACTGTGGGCAGTGTGACCTGTGTGTCACCACAGTGTGTGTCAACGAAGCCTTCGAATGAGGCATACAGGCCTCTCCAGACAGGTGTCATATGCTCCACTGGATACGCCGGCCACGACTCTTGTAATGCGGCTGCTAGGTCCACCATTAGAAGGAACAACCAACACGTCGGCCGGGCGCATCGCATCAAAACACCTTTCTTCTTCAGCATCACCATGATGACGCTCATACTCCTCTGCGGTGCACGCGTGCCTGTCACGCTCTCCAGGCCAGGATGTCAGTTTCCCCTGCTACAGTTCCGGTCTTCGGGTCGCTGTGCTTGGCTTTTGGCAACACAGACAGTGAATGGCCAGATTCCCACTTCCCAAAAAAGTCGAATACATCGCGATTCAAAGCGCTAGTCGCGATCATTAATTTTTTTCTTTGGTGCCTCCTTTGATCTTGCCATCACGACCTCCCAAGCAAAAGTAAGTTAGATATCGTGATTGGACTGGGTTTTACCTGTCAAAAAGTGCGTGGGGGATAAGCGACAATTGCGATGAGCCGGACCAAGTACTTGTATCCACTGTCGGATGGAGTGCAAGGGCTAAAATACTGTCACTGATATGCATGCATAAAGATCTTTAGCACTCGTTTTGAACACTGACCATTAGCGATTGCACTCTTAACGATCGTGTGCGAGTTATCGGTATCATTGTTTCAGTCCTAAAAAAACCATACTTTCACCAGTGACTTTCTCAGTACATATACTCGTTGTGAGTTTTATGCTAAATTTTACTCCTCTTACTGTTCAACGTCTGGTCTAGTTGGTGAACTCAGACTCATAACTTATGCCCTGTTCTGTTCTTTGTTTTCCTCTTCTCTCCTCAACTTTTATATTCTACAGAAGACATTCTTACCGAGACAATTGGTGTACACGTCAACAGATGGTATGCCAATCTCGACCGAGGACATCTTGACCATTGTTCAAAACACGGAGTACGCGAACACTCGCGACGAAATATCCATGGCCGACCGCGTGGTAAGTGTGGCGTAAAGTAGACCCGTCTGTTTGTCTGGATGCATGTCTGCATGTATGTACGCCATGTATGTGTGTATGTATGCCAGCTATCAGAAGCGACTTGCTGGTCGCCTCGCCCTCAAGTGGGACAAGCCATTTTCAATCATCATGGCTTGGGTGCGAGTTCGCAGCCAATTTGCAGTGATCCATGCAGTCGACCTCCGGCTACGCGGGTCTAGAAGGAACCTGACAGGCCTGTCGACGCAGGATGGTGCTGGGGTAGGCATAAGAACTGAATTTCGTCTGTTTTACGTGGAATTTCTTGGAGTTTCCCAATGTATTTTACTTGAATAAAATTGTATTTTACCTTTCATGGTATCTCAATTTTTTCACGTCTACATGACTTTCTTTTGCCCGTAAAAGAGGCAGTTACCCCGAAAATTAATGTATGTACGTATGCGTGTATGTACGTATGCGTGTATGTACGTATGCAAGTAGGTTGTATGAAAATAATTATGTTTTTTAACGCTATTCCACTGATTGAGACTTGCATCAACTTCAACCCCCCCCCCCGCTCCCCCATAATTAGGGCCCTATAATTACAACTTTTCCAAAGATGCTCGCCACTTTTTTTCGCAACTTTTCGCTGTTTAGGGCCCGGTCACACATGCACTCGAAAGTAGCGTATACGCTGAAGCGAGGTGGCAGGAGCGAAAAATTGCATGGCAACTGCGAAAAGCGGAACTTCCTCTTCAGCGGAAACTCCAATCCGCTTCTTCCAAAATTTTCGAAGCGAGACTGTCGCTTCTGCGGATTCGCTTCAGCGGAAAACACCACGGTCTGCTGTATATAGACTTGCTACGAGAAATTTGTATGCGTATGATTTCCATGCAACAAAAATGCGTGCAAGATAGTCATTTACCTCGTCCATTCTCCGTACTGTATGCACAGCACGAAGGGGTGTACGAGTTTGCCGTCGCAGCACTTCTCCTTTTTGGTGGTTTGTGCACAAGAACTCTCCCATTTTAAGTTGCAATGTCAGCAACTTTTGAGCTTTTTCTGAAATATGGATGCGGTTTCAGCAACTTGCACTTGCTTTGGTACAGTTGCGAAAAGCATAAGATGCGAAAAATGATGGCATCTTAGTCGAAACAGGCTAGCATCAGGGCAGGCCGAAAATTTAATGCGCCGAAATGTGCTTTAGCCCCGGGAGGCCGAAATTTCAATGAGCCGAAATTTGTAGATTTACGGCATGTTGTTCCTTCACACAACGTCACGTGATGTTTGTGTATCTTTGCTTTTCATCTCAGGTACTTTGGGAACTTCGAGACTGTGAGAGCAACGTCATAGCGACAGCAGAAACATTCATTGGAATCGAACGTGTCAACGACAACCCACCTGTGGTGATATTCAACATTTCTCCAGGCATCGTATGACGAGCAGAATATTAGCTAATGCCAATGATGTAAAATTCAAGAATTCGTAATATTTGTGGGCCGTGCTAACTGGCATCCACCTCTCTACAGCATTTTACCTTGCTATTTGTGTTACTGTTTGCATGCAATGGGCGTAGTTAAATCGCTACTCGTGGAGTTCGTCAGCAGCTACTTCGAAGTAGATTCTTTCTTTATTCTTTCAATAGCTATCTTTCTCTAATTTTCACTTCCAGTCTCTGTCTCTCTCTCCCTCTCTCTCCTCTCTCTCTCTCTCTCTCTCTCTCTCTCTCTCTCTCTCTCTCTCTCTCTCTCTCTCTCTCTCTCTCTCTCTCTCTCTCTCTCTCTCTCTCTCTCCCTCTCTCTCTCTCTCTCTCTCTTTCTCTCTCTCTCTCTCTCTCTCTCTCTCTCTCTCTCTCTCTCTCTCTCTCTCTCTCTCTCTCTCTCTCTCTCTCTCTCTCTCTCTCTCTCTCTCTCTCTCCAAGTCTAGTGATGTCCACTCTCGGCATCTCTTCTCGAATCAAGAAATTCGAACCCTCCAAATATCTGGATTTTCCTACTCCCAGGTCGCTTATGCATGTTTACATAGCAGCGTGTTTGACATGATCTTGAAGTAATCACAACAAGTCTTTAATTTTGTACACTCCTCTCTTAAAAACCAGCACTCCCGAAGTTTTGGGAACTATTTTGACGACTATCCTCCGAGGACAATAATTATTAGAAGTGTGCATCTGGATCTGGCGAGTGTCTCAAATGTTGACGGATATGCACTGGATGTGTGGTGTGGGGATGGGTTTCATTTACTTGACGTGACGGAGCTACCGCTACTTCAGGCTATCCTCAGATCAGTGTACATGTATCTGCTGCGGGAATAATTATAAAAATGCTCTGCAGGTGTCTTAGGACTGTAGCCAGAATTCAAAAACATGTGCAAGGAACAATTCCGCATGGAAGATTCATTATTATTGATACCAGCCATTCCCACAAAAATAATCACGGAGTCTTGTTTCACTGTACCACGTGACACAGTCTTCAGTGTTAGACTTAGAGGCTATACTTGTGCATTCACTTGTACAAACACGATGTGTGTGTTCAAAAGAAAATCCAAGCAAGGGTTATACACGTAACCTGTAAGTCGCTAATAACTGGGCCTGGGCGGATAATGCTAGCATTATAAGGAGCATTATAGTGTGCGATTTGCAACGAGCATTATGCTAGCATTATAACACTACATTTCCCCAAAAGTGGCATTAAAATTTTGTATAATGTACTCAAATTGAAATGGCCCAACTAACGTTACTCGTTACTTCTGCGAAAACCAGGCTTTAATAGGGTGAAAATAATTTTTTGGAGAAAAATGATGTTTTGTAAAAAGGTTGTGTCGCGTGGACGCTTGAGTGCAGTGAAGTGCAACCAAAGAGAATCTCGCTTGTTTCACGAAGTAGCTGTCAAGTGTCATGGCAGGAAGGGCTTCAGCAGTCAGGGAAGTCAAAGGGCTCCCGGTAGAATTATTCCCTGCTACTCCTCTAGTCACAACGAAGAATTTTTGGGCTGATCGAACGGATTCCATCTCCTACACTCAGGTATGGCGAAATTTCTGCGCTAGCTGCTGCTTGCGGAAAATGGTGAAGAAATCGTCTCTCCAGTTAGAGTCGTGATAGCGATAGCGAGGAGAACCTGGACGACATCGATCCAGCCAATCGAAGTACGGAGATATATGTACTAGCTGTTTCTGGGCCTCACACAAAGGGAACACGCGAAGCAGAGCTCATACGTTTGCAGCTGGTTCACGAGGTAAAAGGCTTGAAGCGCAGTGTAAAAACTGTTTTGAATTGAAGTCCTTGGCGATGAAGTGCTACTGAATGCCAGGCGAATGAGCGAGCAGATCGAGAGGCCTCCACTCGAGACTTTCCTCGCTGGACAGCTAGCTGCAAGGGATTGTATGGAGCAATGCTGTATGTACATGTATGTATAACTCATAATCACAAGGTGATCTTAGAGGCATTAAATTAATCAGCGAGAGAATTGTGAATGATGTCAATACTGTAATACTGTAGCAGCAATAAAATTAGCGTAATGATCATGATTTTCTAGCATATTCCACTACGCAGAACTACGAAATGTGCACAATACTGCCCAAACCAAGCCATTTTCCATACTTACTACTGGTTAATTGCTGGCATTACAGAGGAACAGCAGCATTATAAGTAGCATTATGATACAGTTTTTCTGGCATTGCCATTAGCATTATCCCGCAAAATAACTAGCATTATCCGCCCAGGCCTACTAATAACTGGGTTATTGTCTTTAAGACTGTTCTGTCTGGTCTTGCCGTCCCGTCATCATACCAGGCCAGCATCCCATGAAGCCTTGGAATGTAGCTTGTGCTTGGCTCGATGGCGCTAGCCTTCCCCTCTTTGGAATTAGCACTAATATCCATGAACCTTCCAAGTCGGAAGGCCATTGGTTAGTGCTATCGAGCAGTGCTCAAGCTGATGTTCATGCTGTGGAATGTCTCAGTACTCCTTGTCAGTTTTGTGCTAGATTGTGCACGTCTCACTGTTCAAAATCTGGTTTAGTTGGTGGACTCGATCGCATAACTTGTGCCCACAATTTCCATGTTCCAATTGTCTTTGCGCGAAGTTCACTGTTCCAATTGTCTTTGTCCCGATTTCAATGGGGTATTCATGTATCGAGTTTCTTATGCTACTTCCACTCTCAGAGAATCCAACCTGTCGACTGCCTTCCGAGTAGCTAAATCTCAGCGGTGGATCCAGCGATCTCTACATTAGCTGATACTAGTGCACGTATTATGCACATCCATAGCCATCATTATGGCTTCCAGTAGTGCATTTACGAAATTTGGGGGATCCACGGAACCCCTCCTGGATCTGCCCTTGGATCTACCGCGCGCCGTGCGAGCACCAAGCTGACGGACCAGTCATGTCTCCTGATCCTGGATGTCCTGCCGCAAAACTTCGAAGTCGAGCACGACTGCACCCGCTCTGCATGGGGAGCAGTGTGACTCGTTAGTTCTGGCTTGCCGTGTGGCCCGCGAGATTCGGACCCTAGCCTGCAAGCGACCAAGTTATAGTCCGTCTTTAGTTTAGCTGGTGCGCTGACTGGAAGGCGCTGAGTGCGGAAGAAAGATTTGCGCTCATTGAAGTCATTATTTTGAATGTTTGGTAGTTAGCGGCCCTGTAACGTTATAATACCGACCACAACCATTGGTTTCAAAGTGTTCCGCCACGACGCACTCCGAAGAACCGGTGCGAGCCGTGCGCCGAGTCCGCAAGCGGAGTGGATCGGTGGCGTTTATCCAGCAGAAGCTGGAACGAAGGAGCGGCGACCATGGCTTCTCCTGTCACCACCGTGTTGTCGACTGTAGCCATTCTGCTGGTTCTTCTTCCGTGCAGTAGCGGCCAGAGTAAGACGAGTCTTGTATCCGTTCTCTGTACTAAGCGTTATAAAAACTTCACCATGTGGGGTTCACCCACCGTCCGTAGAGGGCTCAATTTGCCGAACGCAAAGAGCGGAATACACAGACAGGAGAACGAGCAGTTGCTGTTTTGCGGTGTAATAACTTCACCACAATTGTAATTTTAGGTACTTTTCGTGCTTGGAGCGTGTAGAAGCTAGGCAGGAGAGTCATTTGTTATTACTGAGTCATTGTTGTGCAGTTTTCAGCCCTGGGAACGTCAAACGTGACGATTTGATTGTGATTAATTTTACTCTCTCTCTCTCTCGCTTGGTTCTGTTTTAGCGCTTTGATTTGGAACTGGGGGGAGTCAAAGAATTTGAGAGCCTAAGATCATAGAGATGAGGCTGGCCTGAGCTCATTGGGAAGTTCCAAACACTACAGTCATCTGCTAGGCGCTCACTGGCAGAATTCAATTGTGTTCCTTTGGTGCCCTCATGTGCCAAGCAGGGATGTCATGGGGGGGGGGGGGGCAGCTTTGTATTGAGGTGGTTGGGTGGTGGTAGACACAGTTCCAGGCACATCCGACATGACGAGGTCAAGGATGTTTTTCTCCGCGAGTGGTCATGGGTGGAGGGGTTGCAGCTTTGCATTCATGCCAGAGGATGTTCCCAAATTAACCATTTGAAGCCCCAAATAATCCTGATAATTGTATGCGACTGCAATTGCGATAATTATAAGGATATTATCCTTTACCTTATTTTGGGCTTTGCCCCATATCCCTCACACACTCATACTCAGCCCAAGGCAACAATGATTTGTTTTGGAGATAGTGTGCTGCTTCGAGAAACTGGTCTTGTAGTGCAAAAGCTCAAAGAGTTGGAAAGCAGTGCCAGGCCACTGGCAGCAACTAACTCCCAAGGAGCGGCAATAAACCCACCCTGTGCCACAATGGGTTTGCAAGGCAAAGCCAATGCAATTGGCAACAACTGGCTCGTGATGAGCCGTAACTTGCAAAGCAAATGACCAGCTAGAAACCGTAGAGCTAAATGTTCCCTAGCACCATTAGCAAGAGGATAAAATGTGAGGGAAGGAGGGTGAAAATTTGATGCTGGCACAAGCTAAAAGTCACCACTAATTTGACTTTGAAGTGAAGCCAACGGCAAGAGAGAAAGAGAAAGTTGAAAGGAAGCATTTCTGCAACGTCAGGCTAAGCGCGTCCGAATCCATGCGCCAGCAGTGTGTGTGCAGTGAGCAAACGTTCAAAGGAAGCAGTTGTGGGACGTCAGGCTAAGCGCGCTCAAAATCTATGCGCTGGCAGTGTGAGTGCAGTGTCGAAAGCACTGATGCAGCGGTGCGTGGCAATTGCAAACATTGCAATGTGATCGATGGATGCTAACACACACTAACTACATTACTGCGACACTAACTTTGGTGCTCGTTGTTGGATTTCCATAATGATCTTGGGCTTCCTGGAAAGCTCTCCGGAGCTATGACAACTTGCAAGATCAGCCCTAGCCTGCCACTACTGATCTGGCGCAAAAGCCGTCCAGAGTTTAGTGTTTTACGGTTATAGTGGTACAGCACTCTACTGCACTTCCTACCCATTCCTCTCTATCTTGCCCCATCACTAAAACCTGTATAATTATCATTCATGTTATTCTGATTGCGTTTACTGGCTTTATTCCTATGAAAGAATTTTCCGCAAAAGGAATGGTCGAGTTTTCACCAGTGGTTGCTGGATTCAAGAAACATAATCACCAGCCGCCTGTGAGAACAGTTTCCTCTGAGACAAAAATGCGATAATACTCATAAAAAGGCTTGAGAAGGCTTGAAAGTATACTTGTGAAGACAAAAACGTTCAAGATGTTCGTAATGAGCCTGAAGTGTGTCCTTTTTATGAGTATTATCGCCTGTGA